TTGTAACAGGTGAATAAGTATCGAAATAGTCGAGACCTTCACGTTGCCTGTAGCCTTTTACCATAAGTCTTGCTTTATATTTATCAATAGTGCCATTCTCTTTCATTTTTCTTTTGAACACCCACTTACTTCCTAAAGGCTTATTGCCACGAGGAAGGTTTACCAATTCCCAAGTGTGGTTGGACAAGATAAACTTTATCTCACTATTGATAGCCTCTTCCCAGAATGATTCTTCCAGAGACGTTATAGCTTCCTTATACGTTCGAGGCTCATTTTCAAATAAATACGTCATAAAAGCAGGTCCAAAGGATGTGGCTGTCATTTGCCTCTTGGTACGTCTAGATTCATCTTCTACATCCTCTATAGGATCAATATTAGTTGTAGGATCCTGAGGTATAACAATGTGGTTATCATTATTACCACTTGATTCATGTACTTTATTATACAGAAATAAGTCTTCAAAGAAAGTGACTTCCCTTGACTCAATAACCGTATTAAGTGCATAACCGATGAATACACAATCCACGGTTTTAGGTCCGATTTTCAACCTTTTAGGTTTAGGAACCGCATCCTTAGCCAAGCACCCCCACACTCTAAAGTATTTCAGGGATGGCTTCTTTCCTTTCCATATATTGTATGGTATGCTGTTTGTCTTTTTATGAGGCATTTTATTAATAATGTAATTAGCCGTCAAAATGGCTTCCCCCCACAAATTCTGTGATAAACCGGACGTAATTAACATATCATTCATCATTTCTTTTAATGTCCGATTTTCCTTTCTGCAATCCCATTTGATTGCGGTGAATATGGAGTTGTTGTCTGGTATATAATACCAGACTCTATACAGAATTCCTCGAAGGGGCCATCATATTCTCCCCCACGATCGCTCCTTACTATTTTAATTTTCTTGTTAAGTTGATTCTCAACTTCACTTTTATATTGCTTAAAAGCAACAATAGCTTCATCTTTACTATTAAGTAAGTACACATAATAATATCTACTGCAATCATTAATAAATGTAATAAAATATTTCTTATTACCCCTAGATGGTGTATTTTTCATGTCACATATATCAGTATGTATTAAATCTAACAACTCGGTTGATCTTTCAACTGATTTAAAAGGTAATTTCGAAAATTTTGATTCAACACATACTTTGCACTTGTTATTTAAACATTCAAATTTAGGTAGTAAATCTAAATGAATTAAATTCTTAATTGACCTTAAATTAACATGTCCTAATCTATTATGCCATAAATTAGAAGACTCAAGCAAGTAAACAGAAGTAGTAGTATTATTAATATTATTAGAATTGTTTACAGTCATCACATTCAGATTGAAAATACCCTCACTAAGGTAGCCCTTTCCTACATACACATCATTCTTAGTAAGTACAAACTTATCAGAAACAAATACAAATTTAAAGTCATTCTTGCTTAACAGAGATCCAGAAACTAAGTTCTTGCGAATATTAGGCACATGGAGCACATCATTTAGTGTCACTATATTTCCAGATGTAATCTTCAAAGCCACTTTGCCCACACCTTCAACTTTTGAAGTAGATGAGTTACCCATATAAAGTTTCTCATCATTCTCAGTAGGAGTATAGGAGGAGAACATCCACTTGATTGAACAGACATGTTTAATGGCACTAGTGTCCACCCACCATTCCTTAGAGTCTCCCATCAGATTGTACTCCATCACCACTTCTGCCAGATTCAGTTCTTCAACCTGATCAGCAATATCAACCATGTTGGCTTGAGTGTTCTTCTTCTTATTATTGAATTTTTGTGGCTTCCTCTGATCTTTCTTTTGTTCCTTCTTACAATCCCTTGCACAGTGGCCAGGATTCCCACAATTATAACAGTTGCCTTTGAACTTTTTGCCCTTTCCTTGCTTAGCATTTTCATCTTCAGAATATTTCTTCTTCTTTGACTTTGACCCCTCTTCAAGTACATTAGCCTTAGAGATCATAAGATTGTTGCCATTCCTCTTGTCAGACATCTTATATTCTTCTTCTATTCTCAATCTCATAACCAGATCTTCAAGTGACAATTCCTTGCGCTTATGCTTCAGATAATTCTTGAAGTCTCTCCAAGAATTCAGTAATTTTTCTATGAAAGCAGCAACTTGGAAAGACTCACTAAGAGACAATCCTTCTACATGAATTTCATGCACAATCACTTGAAGTTCCTCAACTTGACTCACAACAGATTTGGAGTCTTGCATCTTGAAGTCCAAGAGTCTGCCAACTATAAATTTCTTTAAGGCAGCATCCTCAGTTTTATACTTCTTGTCCAGACTATCCCAAAGTTCCTTACTGGTCTTCAGGGTACAATACACATTATACAATGTGTTGTCCAAAGCATTGAGAATATAGTTTCTGCAAAGGAAGTCAGAATGCTTCCAAGCATCAATGGCAGCAACATTTTCCTTATCAGATTCTTCTCCCTCATTCAATTTAGGAGCATCTTCCTTGAGGAAACGGTCCAGACTCAGAGTTGTCAAATAGAACAACATTTTCTGTTGCCAACGTTTGAAATTTGTCCCATTCGTGACTGACGGGTGCGACCGGTGACCGTTCTGACGAACAGGTACAACCGGTGACTGGTTCAGTGAGCAGACACAACCGATGACCGGTTCGTGAAAAGAAATAACCGATTTGGTTCAAAATTTCTCAAAAAACTGGCGGGTAGCAACGTTTAGGTTTTAAATTTTGGAGGGAAGCAACAGATACATTTTTGGACACACATACGAACCGAATCGAACCGATCCAAGCCAGGCGGCGGCGCGCGTGTGGTGGACCAAAGCCCACCGAGCTCCTCCCCCTCCACAAAATGTGTAGTGACCCAAGAGCCAATCTAGGAGAGTGAGGTGGGAGTTTATAAACTCTCCCACTTCTAACTAGTTGTCCAATGTGGGACTTGTTAAAACCCACACACTCCTTCAACTTCCCTTTTCTCTTATATTTATTAACCCACTTCTTATTCATAATCAATAAATCATTGTTCATTAATTCCAACAAAATCAACTAAAATATACATAATTATAAAGTCAAATTTGCATAGCGTTGAAGTTACATACATCATTCGTGTGTTTTACTATGGGTTTAATATTTTATATGTTATAGGAAATAAATTTATTACCCACACATACATAAAAATATGTAAGTTCATGTGAAATCATATAAAGAAAAGAGGAAAATAAAATAAAATATGGATCTCATATATTTTCATAGAAAAAACTATAAGAAAATGAGATAGAAACAATTGATGGAGCCTACTTCTTTTTTGTGTATGTGATAGACAAATTATTTTTGGGATCATCTTTTCTCATGTTGCATGACAACATGAGAGAAAAAAAAGTAGAAACAAATCAAGCTTGGGTCTCATATTTTATAAAACAAAAATAAAATAAAATTTGCTGGCACGCAAAACAAACTGTGTGCAGGAAAATTGTTTGCTTTCCAGAGCGGCAGAAGACTATGATTTCCGATTATTTTTGTCTTAATTGCATAAATAGTTTTTATATTTTTATATTGTGGAGAGATAAAATTATTGAATAACATCAGAGATATCAAAACCCTTACTAATGCGCCTATAATCTTTGACTGGTAATTATGGTAAAATCAGAGTCAAATTAAAAGTATAGTAATCTAATAAAGTATAAAAAAGCAATCTCATTAAGTAGTTATCTTTAAAATTCTTTAATAAAAGTATTACATATTTCACATGTCCACTTGTCTTGTTTTCCTTGACTCTCTAACCGAGACCCTATCAAAATCTTTCGACCATTTTCTATAATTATATAATACGGATAATATATATAACTATAATGTTAAAATTATTTTTTCTTTCCATCACGTCAATTGATAATACCTAAGAAAAGAAAAAAAAACTTAATTATTATATTTATGGAAGAGGTTATACTTACAACTTATTTTCGTTTACAATCTCTTGTAACCATATCTTAACCGTTGATTTTCGTCAATCAACGATTATCATTGATTGTGAATTAATAATTAATTAATAAATTTAATTTGTATAAATCTTAATCGATGATTATCGAAAATCAACGATTAAAATATGATTGTAATATGTTGTAAACAAAAATAGATTGTAAATATAACTTTCCTCTATAATTATATATTATCCGTACTATATAATTATTACGTTGCACTGAATACTCAGTGCAACTTTTGTATATTAACTTCTTCCCAAAAACTTTGGTATGGTTAATTATAATGTAGTGGATCATTTTCATGTTAAAATTTTACATGATTATTACAAAAAAAAAAAAAAAAAATATTTACATGATTAGATTATGTGAAAATTTTATATTTATCTTTCTCTTTACATATATTAAATGAGTTTTATAAGAGTTATGTTGTAGAAAAAGTGATTATGTAATGTTATAGAGATTCGTTTTACGTGCCATAGTTTTTTTTTTTGCTTTAAAAAGTGCGGGCCCCACAAAATGTTGTGTATATAGGAAAGTTTTTCTGATCTTGTTAAAGGACAAACTAAAACTCTATATTAAATAGATAGAATCTAATTATCATTAATGAAGAAATAGATAAAAAAAAATAACCTAAAAAGATCTATTCCCGATTATAACACACATGAGCTCCGTTATGTCTGAGTCAGTTCGCATTTAGTATGAAGAAAAACTGAAAAACATTAAAATAGGCAAATTATTGCTTTCACCCACATATGCTAAGCTAGATGCCTACTCTGGGAATATACGGAGTCCCCCCAACAGATTTTAAACTTCAATAACCTATACCTCTGACTCAAATCATACCATATGTAAAGATAAAGGAAAAATCCGTTTATAAATCATTTTTTACAAATTATATTAAATATGATCGATCATATATTATTGATTGGTGTATAACGGGTCAAATATAATGTAATTTGTAAAAAATTGTAATGAAAAAATTTATAAATATAATATTTCAGTCAAGATAATAGTATGAAAAAAATAGTGAGAAATCATACCACATGTCTCCGAGGACTTTGTCGTGATTAATGAGAAAGGGAGCAATCATGGAGACACCATCTTGATTGTTGACAAAGTATTTGGCCAAAGGGTTAAGACCATAATGCCTTTCAGCCTTACCAAGAGGGAGTTCACATGTGAGGATGTTATAGCTAGCCAAGAGGCGCAACAATCGGTCCAGCATGGCAGGTGCATCCGGGTTCATGAAAAATAGGAACGCATCTTCATCAGATACTTGCTTTGCACTCACCAGCTCCTCCCTCTGTCTCTCTCCCATTCTGGTTGGTGTTTCTTAGTTTGAATGCTCAACACAAAGTGCCTTGATCAGTTATATACATTTTTACAGACCAAAAATCTTGCTTCAACCAAAGTGTTGACTTTTTTTTTTGGTAATTGAGGTGTTGACTTTTCCATGGTTTAAGTTCACAATCAAAACGTTTGGATTCACTGTTAAAAAAAAGTTATTTTTATGTCTTACTTATTTTAAAAGTAATTTTTATAAAAGTTAAGATTATTTAGATTTTTTAAAAAATATTTATTTTTTTTAAAAAAAAATTAGCTTTTGACTTTTACTTTTTTTGAGAAGTAAATTTTTGACTTTTTTATAACTTCTGTTTTTTTTAGAAACAGCATCCAAATGCACTTTAAACTAAAAGTGCTTTTTTTTGGGAAAAAAATAACTTCTGACTAAAAAAAAAGCTCATCCAAACGAACCCTAAACATCATTGTTGATTATCTCATCTAATACTAATCAAAAGTCGAAATTTATGTCTATTTTTATATTTTTTCGGTATTAATTAATTAAAATATAATTTTGTCCATTCATTTCATTTTTTATTTAAGTACTATATAAAAAAAATTAATTTAGTTGTCCCAATTTTAACTTAAAAATATATTTTGTTTGTGATGACAAATTGAAGTATAAAAATCAAATAAAAGTACTGTGTCTGACATGTAGAGACTAAAAATATTATATTAGTTACCTTATGTATAAAAATCATTTTCAATTTGTTTTTTATATTTTGTAGTAGATTCATATTGATCTCACCACATGCATGCTATAATGCAAACAAACAATAGACATAAATTTGAATATTATTATTCAAGAACTAAATTAATCTTTTTTTCTTATGTATGTAAAAATCAAACTAAAGATATGAATGTTTGACCAAACATATCTCTAGCCAATATTTAATTATTTTAATCAATGAACTACTACTGATTTCATTTAATCTTGTATTTATAAATCTTTCATCTATATTAAATTCTTATTTTCGTTTTAGTTTTTTTCGTATTTAACATTAATATATCAATAACGGTTTGATAGGTCACTATTTAACGATATAACTCCAATAGAATTATTATAAAGACATCAGTCGATATCTTCATTATTTAATTATTATAAAATTAATTTATTTTTCTATTGTACAGAATAAACTTCTTAAGTTCCTTAATCCCAACCAAAAAAAAAAAAAACCATTTCTCTCCGAATGATTGTTATGTACCGTTGTACACTCGCTCTTATAAAAAAATTGTGGAATATAGGTGAGAGTCATTTGTGAAGAACTAGAAAGAGATGAATTCATTAATGAAAAGTTATAAGGACAAAGAACCCGCAGGTTCAACAAGCAAAAACTATAGCAACCCACAGCTAGGTGGAAAATTAAATACATAACAGAGTATATCACAAACAATACAGTTCATCAAGTAGAATCAACTTCTTCATTATTACTAATTTATTAGGGGGGCATATTTTCTTATGTTGTAGGATAGTAGGAGAGAAAAAAAGTAGAGATAAGTTAAATGTGGGTCCCACATTTTAAATTAAAAAAGAAAAGAAAAATTAATTGGCACGGAAAACGAATTTGTGTAGGAAAAAGTTCTTATCTCATGTAGATGGAGATAATGATTTCCCTTTATTATGAATCAAGACAACATTATATTGGAGGAAAGCATTGTGGCCTGGCAATTGCACTCTCTCAAAACGTAAATGTGAATGGCAGAAGATTAGAACTTAAGCCTTCTTAAGAAATTCCATGACATAAAAGTTGAAAACAGAGCACGCTACTCGGAAGCCTTGGAATCCAGCCCCCTTAGCCAAAGCCTCGTACTCTTTCTCTGTTCTCTCTTTTCCGCCTGAGCTATGACACAACATTATAACATCCATTTGAAACAGACACTTTGTGGCCAAGTTAGAATCCGGGGTTACTGGAATATTGGATTCAGCCAAAATCACCTTCCCCGTTTCAGGAATGGAATCATAGCAGTTCTTCAAAAGTTTCAAGCATTGCTCATCATTCCAGTCATGACATATCCACTGCATTTATAAATGGTATTTTTGTCATTATCATAAACAAGTGGCAAAAAACATGTCAGCTGTGAAATCAGAAAGTTATATTTACAAACTTTTTATTTACAAACACTTATAAACTACACTATGTTTACCAGTAATACATTCTTGAGTAGAGTCTAACCGGTAATACATAGTGTAGTTTGTACATTTGTAAAAAAAATTGTTAATATAACCCTACTCGTCAAAATAATGCTAAAACTTGATTTCAAAATATGAAATTAATTAAGAGAATAATATTTCTCATATTGTAGGAAATAATTTTCTCTTCTACACTTATAAAAATATGCGGGCGCATGTGAAGGAGCGAAGTTTCTGTGCTCCGAGAGCAGAAATCATTCAGTGGAACTCTGATGAGAGAAAGAGAGAAAAGATTGAGGGGAGAGGAGAGAGAAAAAAAAAAAAAATTTAATCTAGGTGTTAATTTTTTAGTTAAAGAACCGTGGTGGTCCTGGACCACATTAAAAAAATTTCATGTGAATAGAAGAAAGATAAAAAGAAAATATTACCTCACAGACTTTTATACATGTGTACGAGATAAAATTATCTCCTACAACATAAAAAAACATTAATCCCACTGATTAAAAACTTACCTTCATGAAAATGGCGTCACCTTTTGGAACACTGACAAACATGTCTCCACCAACATGCTCCACACCTGCACCAAACACCCAACTTATTAGTTCTTCTCATTTATAACTTTGAAGAGCCACTATATAAACTTCATATGGTATGAATTAAAAAGCACCTGGATAAGATGGAGCCTCTTTAATAACGTGGGGCAAGTCAAAATTAATGCCCTTTATGGTGGGATACTTGGAGACAATCATGTTAGTAATAGCTCCAGTCCCACCTCCAACATCAACCATGGATCCAAGACCCTCAAAGCCTGTATAGGTCTCAAGAATTTTCTTCATTATGATGCTAGAGCAATCGGACATCCCCTTGTTGAAAAGCTTGTTGAACCTTGGATTTGTGCCATGGAATTCAAAGGAAGTCATTCCATAAGCATTGTCAAATGGAAGGCCACCCTCCTTAATTGAATCTGTCAAGTGGTACCTACAATAACACAATCATGAAAAATCTTTAATAAATGACGGTTGAGATGTATAGTACAAAAATTATGTGACATGAGAGAATTCATTCCCTTTACTAAGCATTCACTAATTATAAATACTTCAATTAAACCCTGATAATGATAAAAATAGGTCAGTTGTAATTTGAATTATCATTAATGCTTATGACGTGTCCTCTTCTTATAATGAGGCCGGTTTCTCTCCCGTCCATAAACTTTGTCGAATCCAAAGAAAAAAAAAAGTTGTAATTAAGCACTGGCATCTTCTGCCTTCGACAGATAGTACAACTTTTAGCTCTTCTTCATTGGCTAAAATTTTCTGTAGTTTTTTCTTCTGTAACAAAAATTATTTTATCAAAATCATAGAAAATTCCTGAAAGTTCTAACCGCATGCCTCTAATTTAGTCGTATATGCAAAGTGGTTATTGGAATTGAATTATTCGCACATAAAACTTTGATATGAATAAGTTAAAGTTTTTTTTGCATGAAAAATCAACTAAAATATACATAATCATAAAGTCAAATTTGCATAGCGTTAAAGTTACGCAAATCATTATACCAAAAAAAATATATATATATATGTACATCATTCGTCTGTTTTAATAAGAGTTTAATGTTTCTTATGTCATAATAGATAAAATTATTACCTATATACACATAAAGTATATGAAGTTCATGTGAAATCATATAAAAATAAAATAAAAAATAAAATAAAAGATGGACCTCATATATTTTCATAGGAAAAACTATAAGGAAATAAGAGAGAAAATTTTGATGTAGTCTATTTTTTTTCTTTTTCTGTACGTGACAGACAAATTATTTTTGTCACAGAAATAATTTTTTCATTTTTATATTATGTAGAGATAAAATTATTGAGTAACATGAGAGACATTAAAATATTTTTTTGGAGTTAGACATTAAAATATTTTTACTAATGCGCCTATAATATTTGACTAGTAATTATGGTAAAATCAGAGTCAGATTAAAAGTATAGTAATCTAATTAAGTATTATCCAAAAGAAAAAGAGCAATCTAATTAAGTAGTTATCTTTAAAAGTCTTTGATAAAAGTATTACATATTTCACATGTCCACTTGTCTTGTTTTCTTTGACTCTCTAACCGAGACCCTATCAAAAGCTTGAGGGCATTTTTTATAATTATATAAAACGGATAATATATAATTATAATGATAAAATTATTTTTTCTCTTTTCGTCACACAATCGATAATACTTGAGAAAAGAAAAAAAATAACCTTACTATTATAATTATATACTATCCATAACATATAATTATTATATGACCATTGTATTGAATACTCAGTGCAATTTTTGTATATTAAATTTTTTTCAAAAACTTTGGCATATTTAATTATAACGTAGTAGATCTTTTCATGTTAAAATTTTACAAGATCTGATGATTATGTGAAAATTTTATATTTATCTTTCTCTTTACATATATTAAGTAGGAAGGATCTAATTATTATTAATGAAAAAATAGATCACATAACTGAAATCTTAACGTAAAAAAATCTATTCCCAATTATAACACACGTGGTTGAGCTCCGTCATGTCTGAGTCAGTTCGCATTTAGCATGAAGAAAAATTGAAAAACTTACTTTCACCGACATATGCTAGTTGCCTACTTTGGGAATATACGGAGTCCCCCAACAGATTTTAAACTTCAATAACCTATACCTCTTACTCAAATCATACCATCTCCATATAATAACATAAAGATAATAGTATAAAAAAAAAGTGAAAAATCATACCACATGTCTTTGAGGACTTTGTCGTGTTGCATGAGAAAGGGAGCAATCATGGAGACACCATCTTGATTGTTGACAAAGTATTTGGCCAAAGGGTTAAGACCATAATGCCTTTCAGCCTTACCAAGAGGGAGTTCGCATGTGAGGATGTTATAGCTAGCCAAGAGGCGCAACAATCGGTCCAGCATGGCGGGTGCATCCGGGTTCTTAATTATTGGGAGCTGAGAAGCAATATTAGAAGGAGAAAGATAAGCTCCATCACCAGCTTTGGCTATGGTTTCTATGATACCAAGCTCTAAAGCTGACTTCAGCACCATAGGAACAGCGGTGGCACCTGCTAGTTGCATGGAAAATAGGAACGCATCTTCATCAGATACTTGCTTTGCACTCACCACCTCCTCCCTCTGTCTCTCTCCCATTCTGGTTGGTGTTTCTTAGTTTGAATGCTCAACACAAAATGCCATGATCAGTTATATACATTTTTACAGACGAAAAATCTTGCTTCAACCAAAGGTGTCGACGACTTTTCTACGCTTTAAGTTCACAGTCAAAAGTCGTTAGTCAACAGTCGAAATTAGACATTAGACATCATTGTTGATTATCTCATCTAATACTAATCAAAAGTCGAAATTTATGTCTATTTTATATTTTTTTCTGTATTAATTAATTAAAATATAATTTTTTCCATTCATGTTCCTTTCATTTTTTATTTAATTATTATATATATAAAAAATTAATTTTGTTGTCCCTATTTTAACTTAAAATATAATTTGTTTGTTATGACAAATTGAAGTATAAAAATCAATAAAAGTACTGTGTCTAACATGTAGAGACTAGAAATATTATATTAGTTACCTTATGTATAAAAATCATTTTCAATTTTTTTTTAATATTTTGTAGTAGATTCATATTGATCTCACCACATGCATGCTATAATGCAAACAAACAGTAGACATAAATTTGAATAACTAAATTAATTTTTTGTCGTATGTATGTAAAAATCAAACTAAAGATAAATGTTTGACCAAACATATCTCTACCCAATATTTAATTATTTTAATCAAGAGAAAAGCATCGTTATTAAAATCGGAACGATCCCCCCGAGTTGACCCGGGAATCGGTAAACCGGCTATTTAATCGGTCCGGATGAAGCAACGGATCAGGCATGCATCAGAATCTGTGCGACCCGGTCCGACTCGACCGATTTTCATGAAAATCGGTGACCCGGCCCGGTCCTAAAAAAAATTCCAAATTTTTTTTTCAAAAGAAAAAATCACAATAGACATATTTGAATATTTTTTTGCTTATTGACTTACATAAGTTATGTACCTACAACACTAAAATTATCTCAGTTGTGCATTATGCAGAAAATTTTGATTTGATTTATAGGTAAAGATGTCATTTTCTGAATTTAAAGCCCCGTATCACAATTATTATATTTTTATTTGATCCTTTATTGGATAATAGTATGTGATTAATTATTTTTTATATTAAAAATTTGAAATTTTTATTATTATTTTTAGATATTTGAGTATATTTATAATTTTTTAATATAAATTATAAAATTACATATAATTACCGGGTCATGCGGTTAAACCAGTGACCCACTGACCCAGTACATCGACCGGGTCAATGATCGGGTCGGTTTTAATAACATTGGAAAAAAGTGTGTGTCATTTTAAAGGATGTAAAGTTGTATCATTTTAATAGAGAGAAAGAGATAGATGAAGAGGAGAGAGAGTTGACAAAAAAAAATAAAGGTATGAATCCATCTATTTGTAAGAGTGAAATGGTATAAGTTATATCATTTAAAAGGATAAATATTTTTCCCTTTAATCAATAAACTACTGATTTCATTTAATCCTGTATTTATAAAGCTTTCATCTATATTAAATTCTTATTTGCGTTTTAGTTTTTTTCGTATTTAACATTAATATATCAATAACGGTTTGATAGGTCACTATTTAACGATATAATTCAATTAGAATTATTATGAAGACATCAGTCGATATCTTCATTAATTATTTATTTATTTATTTAAAAAAAACATACTTTCAAGTTTTGAATATGCATTAGGACAGCATATATATGGGGACATTGACCCTCATGTTTTTAAAAAGAATTTACCTGAATATCATGACACTTTAAAAAATTATCAAACTATCACGGCTTCAAATTTGCTAATAGCTATAGCAAATATATATAGTTGTGCCACATGAGGTGGTTAAAGCTATTGTGGAGTTTAGTGATTTTGCCCATACAAAAAATATTGGCAGATACCTGGACTATAGAATGAAACATGGCAGAATTAGCAAGCTTCACTACGGAGATATTTTGGACAAAGTTAACAATTGATTACAAGGTTAGAAAAAGCAATGTTTATCTATGGCTGAGAGAGTCACTCTAGCCAAATCTGTCCTATCAGCCATACCCATGTTCCATATGCGGAATAGTCTTCTCCCTAAAGGCATCTGTGATGATATTAAAAAACTTCAAAGGAGTTTCATTTGGAGAGACTCAGATTCGCAGAAAAGAATTCATGTTGTCAACTGGGCTTTCTAAAAATCAGGGTGGATTGGGAATTATCAATCTTAGGAAGCAAAATGAAGTCTCCATCTCAGCTCTGGGCAAAGGTTTTGATTTCTAAGTATGGTAGGAATAAAGATATTTCAAAGGAGGTCATTTGCAAATCATATGATTCTCATCTCTAGAAGAACTTAGGCAAGATATGGCCTACCATGTTAAGTAATCTCATTTGGCAGATTGGAAATGGAAAGAGAATTGTTTTCTGGAAGGACAATTGAACTGGGCTTAGCTCCAACCTGCTATCTTTGGCTATAACTTCTCCAACTGCTGAGGAATCTGATCTGAAGATTAATCATAGTAGCTTTGTTGATGGGGAGGGCTTGAATCTTCAGTATCTTTTGCATCATTTTGATAGTAGTGTGGTGAACCGTATTCTGGCAATACCTCATCCTGATGATGATGTAGAAGAGGATTTCTTGATGTGGAACAACTGGAAACCAAGCCTGTCGATAGTTAAAATTGCTTATAGTAACTGGCTGTCTATTAATTCTACAACTCCAAATAGTGGCTGGGACAAAATCTGGAGCTGGAAAGGTAAAGAAAGGGTGAAATTGCTCATGTGAAAATTATTGCATGAAAGAATGCCAACAAAGGAGAACATAACTAAGTGGAGTGGATCTCTTAATAATTTCCCTTCTTGTCCTGACAAGGTGGAGACTTGTCTTCACGTATTCAGAGATTGCCACAAAGTAACTAAGGTTTGGTTGCTTCCTTTATTCCATCCCTTTCCTCCTGACTTTTTTAGCTCTTTCTCCTTTAATGAGTGGAAGATCCTTAACTTGAATTAGTAGTAGTAAAGTAAGGGACTGGAGGGATTACTTCTTTACTGCCTGCAATTCTTTGTGGACATGGAGAAACAAAAAGCTTCATAAAGAGAATTATAAGAGACATGATAACCCTTCATCTTTTCTTGTTGATTTAATGGAGGAAAAGAGGATTTGTTATACAAGTAGAAGTTATGTTGTCTCTGTCATGCCCTCTAATTTTATCCACTTTGTTTGGACCACTCCAGTTCAAGGATTCCTAAAGCTGAATATTGATGGGGCAGCTCTTGGCAATAGAGCTGCTTATGGTGGTCTCTTGAGGGACTGGAAGGGTTAATGGATCAGTGGTTTTTTTGCTTTCATAGGGTCCTGCTCCCCCTTACAATCAGAACTCTGGGCTATTCTCAAAGGACTAGTCTTTGCCTGGAACTATGGTTGGAAGAACATCATTTTGGAATCAGATTCATTACAAGCTATTAGCCTTCTTACCAGTGTTGGTAAAGATACTCGAAAGCTCCCTTTGGTAGCTAAGATTCGAGTCCTACTTAATAAGTATTAGTCTATTGTGTTAAAGCACATCCCAAGGAATTGCAACAACTGTGCAGATTGGATTGCAAAAAAGGCTTTGATTGATCCTCCTGGTCTCATTATTTACTCCTCACCGCATAGTGATCTCATTAATTTGCTTGCTGCTGATCTCCTGGACCCAGGATTGGAGGCATCTGCTGGTTTGTAAGGCGCTGTTGCAGCTTCTCTTGCTGTGCAGGGTCTTGCTCTGTTTGTTTGTTTTCTTTCAGTTTTTTCTTTTTTTAGTTTTGCTGTTATTTTCTTGGGGCTTTGCCCCTTATGTTATCAAAAAAAAAAAAGTTGTGCCACATGATACATTTCCTTAAACTACCAAAGTCGCTATTAGTGGTAGCGAGTTTAGACTAAACTCGTTAGCACTAATAACGACTTTTTTATTCTCAAAAAATGTTTCCTTATGTCTCGTTTAGCATATTTTATCTCTATGAATGTTGTTTTTTAATTTTTATTCTCCAAAAGGTGTATGGATCTCAAGAAATTACGTGGAATTAAAAAATTACCCAATTTGGATACCAAAATCAAAAGTTATGACTTTTCAAAAATGAGTTGACTTATTTTACCACGTGTTGGTCTATACTCGTTACTACTGACAATGAGTTTGTCTTATTCTGCCATATGATAGTTGAAACTCACTACAACTACCAGCGAATTTGGAGCCATGACAATTTGGTAATATAATTTTTGTTGAAATATATAAAATCATTAATGTAGCCTCACCCAACAGTTTAAGCTTTTGGATTCAATTGGTTCTTTACATGGTATCAGAGCCTTTGTGTACCGGGTTCGATCCTCACTGCTCCCCATTTTCTTTCTAGTGGAATTTCTTTCTTCGCACAGGTAGGTGGGCCTGTGCATTGTCCACCCTTCAAGCCCAGTGGGTTCTCGTGTGAGGGGACGGGCTCTCGTGTAAGGGGACGTGTTGAGATATATAAAACCATTAATGTAGCATCACCCAAAAGCTTAAGCTTTTGGGTTGAATTGATTCTTTACATGATATCAGAGCCTCGTGTCCCGGGTTCGATCCTCGCCGCCCCCCACTTTTTTTCAAGTGGAATTTCTTCGTGTCCCGGGTTCGATCCTCGCCGCCCCCCACTTTTTTTCAAGTGGAATTTCTTTGTTCGCACAGGTAAGTGGGCCTGTGCATTGTCCACCCTTCAAGCCCAGTGGGCTCTCGTGTGAGGGAGCATTTTAAAATATATAAAATCATTAATGTAGCCTCACCCAAAAGCTTAAGCTTTTGGGTTGAATTGGTTCTTTACAATTTTAGCACAATGACATTGCGGTAAATTTTTTTGAACAGTACGGTCAATATCCTACATATATGTGTAAGTAAACCTAATTCATGGATCCGAACAGAACCTCTGTAAAAAATATTTTATTTAGAAATCAAGTTCCCTACATTTTGGGTCATACATATTATCCAGTGTTAAAGCATATGCTTCTATGCTTAAAATAATATTAATTTGAATCCGTTACAAACACAA